TATATAGTATCGGCAAAATGCAAAATTCCGAAACAAGTAATTCGAGAGCAAAATGAGTCGACCCATGTCTGTCGGAACTTAACGCATTGCCGTGGCATGCTCGCTATATAGGGGTGGGGCAATCTGTGTAGCGCATGCAGTTGGCAGCTTGCGTTTGGCACAAGCTACCGTTCGTTGACTGCCGCCCCAAAAAAGTTTCTTTGCTGTTGTATGTTGGCAATCCTGGTTCAATCTCCAAACTGAGCGTTGTTAATGCTTTGGTGTTCGGAAATTTTTCAAACATTCGTTGCATAGGTAGAAATAAAATGTCCAATATCAGCTTTTTACAGTATATAATACGAGCTCCGTCACTATTATTTCATTTATCTGCCATTTTTGAAGGATGTAAAGCTGCTTGTGGTTCAGCGACCTTCAACTGTGGTATAACACACCCATGTAGCTTACCCCTCATGCTTATTGACCAGTGTGATAATAGCAAGAATACAAAATAATATACGACAAGAGGCGCCCTAGGAGAAAGGATTTAAAAAGCACAATATAACATGGAACAATAATTCGAGGGAATAATCGTAATTTTATGGATGAGAGCGTATAGAATAATTATAACGGTGATACAGAAGCAGAAAGACCATATTGCTATCACGACGTAAAGATGTGGAGATGTTGGATTACTGCTCAAACGTCACTCCTTATATACGGCTTTTTCTGCAGCAGGAGCAACATTCTGTAGAGATTGGGAAATACGATCGCGTTTGAATGCAAGATCGCGCTAGATACGAATGGGAATACCTATGCTTATTGTAATGGCGAGTCCCATAGCGATGCTGCTAACTTAGCGCAAGCCTTAGTAGGCTTGATAGCGCTGGAGTTCATCCTCAAGTTGGCACACCTACTTTTCGGCCTGCTATCTGGCTTCCTCGTGGCGCTCCTCAATCTCCGCATTTTATCACCTCTAGCGGAAAGGCGTTTAAACTATATAGCCTTTTGGCAGACTCTCCCCGGCAAAACACTTTCAGGTGCTGTCGCACTTCTTTTGCTTTTGAAAAGCTTTCTGCTCATGATGTTGCTTACTATGCATATTCGGAGTGAT